TCCACGAGTTGCATAGGTTTCTCGCAGACTCTTGCCTGATGCATGCCGGGACTCTAATGAAATCGGCCAGCCGATCAGGATGAAAGACCCTGTCCTTCACGTTTCAGCAAGCGTCGCAGATCCCAGCTGGACGATCTTACATTTCCTTCGCTTCTCACGACCTCTACCTGGAGAACCGCAGCTGCCAAGTGGGCGGGCCTTGCAGCGATAGACGAAGCCTCAGCCAAAAAATCTGCAAAGCTCCATCTGACACATTGCCATAACCTCACCACGGCCGAATGTAGGGGAGAGGCTGGAGATGCCAAAACGATCATGTCGTGCACAAACTTGGCAATCGTCACCATTGTGCTCGTGGCCATGCCCATGTTCGTGCCCATGTTCGTGGCCATGGTCAGCATGGGCATATCCATGTCCGTTGTGTCCACTTTGATCCTCACGCTCATACTGTCGAGGCAGCAAGAATCTGAAAAGGGCGCGAAGTGCCAACCCCTGTTTGCAAAGCAACAACTGAGTGGGGTTCTTCGCCAGGCGGGTGATAACCTGGTCATCCAGGCGACAGAGAAGTTGCAAACCGAACTGACCATCTGGCCTGCTGCTTCAGAAGCACGCACTGCTGCACCGTGACGATTCACCAATGTTGGCACGTACCTCAGCCATGGGTGAACATATCGGTGTCCCTGCAATGCATTGTTCAAATGATTTCCGCACCAATGGTGCAGGCCCCCCCAAAACTTCCCTCACTTCAGGCCCAGATCGTGGACAGTTTGTGTCGGAGTTGCTCCCTTGTGCCACATATGGTATGCGCCAGGCCTTTGCACAACTAGGCCTTTCAAGGTCTGCTCAGAACTTTTGGGTGCTTGCAACACCTCCCACATTGTCCCTGTGCAGGAGCATCAATTTTACAGAGGTTTCTCTTTGCACAAGCTCCGTTTCCTAGCACATATGCCTGCGTGCTTGCCCCAGAAGGCTCCCTGTGTGCCCTGCATGAGACCACTTCTTTCGGTTTCTTGTGGCCAAAGCGCGCCGGCATGTCCAAATCCACCGGATCGGCTGGGAGCAGAGTCCTGATCGTGCTGACATCTGTAGCGTGGAAAGCTTAAAAGCGATGGCCCCGCCTCATGGGAATGGCCCCTTTCGTTGCCGGAAACTGCCGAGCATTCGGGCTCAAGGCAGATACAAGCTGCCGAACTTTGTCTAACTCTTCCGGGCTCACCTGGTTCACAGTCGCAACACTGGGAGCAAAGCAAAGCAGGCAGAACAACAAAAGCATCGGCAAGCGGCCAAGTCAGTCTTATTGATGACGACCTTGGTGCTTGCTCTTGCGTGATCACAGCTTCTGACATCGCTTGCGTCAAAACTCTGGCTGAGCGACGGTGTCCGCCGACTCCAGCTGGCTTACCAGTAGAACTGACAACGGTTTGCGAATTGCGTCGCCGCTGTCACCTGACTCCACGCTGCAGAAGCCACGCGACAAACCTGAGCTTCCTGCTGCCTGGCCTGAGTTGTACATGTCCCAGAAGGCCGAAGCATCAACGACGCAAATGATGCCGGCCTTGGCACACGGAGCTGCTTGCGCAGTTGCGGCTCGAGCTGCATGGTGGGCAGGGCGTGGAACAATCTTCGAACCCAAGAGGAACGAGAGAGCCCTCTGAACTCTCACAAGCAAAGAGCACGCACACACACACACACACACACACCCGTTTCCATCGCTGGTGCCCAGGAGAACCAATGCGGCGATGCCACGAGGAAAATTCGCTTCATGACCGGCTCGCCTCTGCGGCCCATTGCCTTCGGCAGGATGTGGCAGGAGCGAAGACCCCAGAATCTCACAAACCGCAGATCCGAGCCCAAGAGCCTCGAGCTCCGAGGCAATGCTTTCTGGCTCCGCAACTCCGGAGCACTCAACCACGAGCCTGCGTCAGAACAGGAAATCCTGCAACCAGTACGGAGGCTGGGCTCGTCACGTTCATGACTGCAGTGCCAACATGGCGAGGATCTTGGACATCATTAGCAAGCTCAGTTCGCATCGCAAGCAGCTTTCCGGGCCTGTCCCACGGCTTCTCCAACTTCGTCACCCCGCTGCTTTCCACCAGTTCTTGAAGTCGCGCGAAGAGATCGGCCCTGCTTCATGCATCCGTTCACTGTGCCTGTGTGCGTGTGTCTGCGTGTTTGTGTGTCTGCGTGTGTGTGTCTGCGTGTGTGTCTGCGTGTGTGTGCGTGTGTGTGTGTGTGTCGGTAAACAAGTAAGTAAGCAAGTAAGTAAGTTAGGAAGGCAGGAAGGAAGGAAGGAAGGAAGGAAGGAAGGAAGGGAGTAAGTACGCAAGCAAGTGTCAAGGTGTCAGAGTGTCTGCACATGTCCAGATCTTAATTTGAAGTTGGCACTGTAACGACCAGCCTGCCAGAGCAACAGACACATCCATTCTGCAGCCCCACGATGCCGTCGGCATCTTCAAATTTCAGGACCTGCAACTGCCGGCGCGCATGTCTCAGCCAGTGCAAATTCAAGCCAGCCTCGGAATCGATGTTCACCTCTGCGACGTCATTGACCACAACCCCCACCTTGCCAAAGCGCCGTCTCCCTCGCGCAGCGCGGATGAAAGTGGCCTCGGACTGGCCTTGAGACCTTCCCGATTCTTCAGCACGTGCTGCACCATCGTCGTCTTGCCCGCGCCTCAGCAGACCCGTGCTACCACACTCAATCTAAGGCTAAGCTTGGACCGGCAGTCGCACTTCCTAGCAGTTTCGGCTCTTTGTCAAGTCAAGCCACCAAGAAACCCGCACAGGATTGTCACCGGAACCTGGCGGAACTACAACCAGGCCAACCCACTAAGTGCCGCATGTTGGGAAAGTCCGCATGAGCGAACGAGCCAGGAAACACTTAAGCGAAAGACTTGTGCTACTCCGGCTACAGCTACAACTACAGCTGCTGCCGCCGCTGCTGCTGCTACTGCCACTACAAGTAAAACTAGTGCTGCTGCTGGTAGTACTACTACTACTCCTGCTGCTGC